ATACGGGGCGCAGGAACCCCTTTCGGGCAAGCTTTTGGTGCCTACATCGCCCAAGCAGAAACGCAAGATGCCACCCCAATCTCCTTTTACAACTATCCCCATATGGACGCCGGGAACATCACTGGGAAGTTTTACACTCCCGCAGATGTATGAAAAGCCCAGCAATGATCGCGATTTGGATGAATTTGTTCGGTGTCTCTGCTCTGATGAATCTGCTTCTTCCCTTCAAACGTCCAACCCTTATACCGCATCGCAAGGGTCCAGGTTTGGCATTGTCCTGTTTGATCCCATAGCAACTCAACTAGGGAAAGAGATGCACCGTCTTGCCAAGACTCTTTCCATTTTCGTTGATACTGGAATATGTCCACTGCCTTCCATGGGAAGCATATTTTTTCTGGGCTCGAGCATGTTGGAATGTGATCTACGCCCAGATGACCTTCGTTTCTGCCTGCGTGATACTTGGACAGATATTGGACGCGATTATTTCTACGGCTGTCTCTCATGGAGTCTCAGCAAGCGTTCTGAAGATATATCCACCGGAAGAGGGGAACTCCGCTCTGATTCGGATCGCTATTGTTATGATATGACAGAGACAACAGAGCCTCCGGTCTCGGCGGTCTCTGGACCAAGGACGCCATGGATTGAGATGAGCTTCGATGAAACGGCTATTGCGGTGTTGGGCGAGTATATCTCGATTAAACCTCTGGCTCATATCTTATATAATCAATACCCCTTTTCTTTCTACGAATGACAATTATACCACACTTGAAGACTATTCATACAGAGACAGACTTTGCTTCTAGCTATTATTCATAAAGACTTGTCAAATCCATGGCTGTTTCGCTGTCATGATAATCCATACATATTTCATTCAATCAATGTAATTAGGTCGCATCCTCCCTTCTCGCCCGTACGTCCCTCATCAACGCCTTGGCCTCCTCCACTTCAATTCCATCCTGACACAACTCGCTCGCTAGCTGGTCTGCACGGTCAAGATCACCGTTCCGTGACGCATATTGTGCCAACCACAACCGTGCCTTGGACGTAGTTGTTGTAACGCCGGTGCCGTTCCAGGTATCACTGACAATGGAGTCATCGTTCTGCATAGCGAGTGATTCAGCCTTCGCGCGAGGCTTCCGATTACGGCGATGTCGTTGCGACTGATCAGTGTCTTCGTCTCCTGAATGCTCAATCTCGGCATCGCTTTGAATGCCATGCTCCGAGACAGAGGTGTCGTCATCGTCTGCGTTTTCATTGACAGGAGCGCCGGACTCCTGCTGAAGAGTGAGTTCCATGTATGCAGCGGCCTCCTCTTCGTCACCGAGACGCTCGTACAGTGTCGCGATTTGGTGTAGGGTTTCTGGGTCAAGGATCTTGCGACTCCCAGAGCCAGCGCTTGCGCCAGTGGCCGATTGCCCGCCATCATCTGGCTGTAATGATCCAGCCACCAATGCACGCTTCAGAGCTTGAATACTCTGTTCCACTCGGCCCATCTTTGCGTAGCACGATCCGACTGCTTGCCACATCTTTGGATCGTACGGACGTAATGCTGCAGCGCGCTGGTAGTAAAACAGGGCGTAGAAAGACATATCTAAGACTTCATAGGCCTGTCCTAGACCGTACCAGGCGCGGTAATCTTTGCGATTGACATCGACGGCTCGACGGTATGACTCAATGGCGGTGTGAGTATTCTTCATCTCGATGTATTCATGTCCCATGAGGGTCCAGGCAGATAAGAAGTTCCGGTCAAGGGTGAGTGCACGCCGGAAGTACATTACTGCCTTCTCATGCTCGGATTTCAAGGAATAGTAGTTACCCACGACACAGCAGGTTTCTGGGCGGAATTTGTCGGTGGCCGTTGCAACCTGAGCGACGAACGCAAGTTGAGGTCGCTGGTCCATCACGTAAAGGATGTTCGAGTAGTGATCTAGACTGTCTAAGCGGTGAGGTGATGTGGCAAGAATGCCTTCAAAGATATGAGATGCTTCTTCGAAGTCTGAATGATATTAGATCACGGAGTAATCGCGTGTTGCAGAGCCGGGGTAGTTACCTTTCGAGTGATATAGCAACAATGCGTGCTGTGTTTTGAGGAATGCGCTTTCTGGGAACATTGACTGTAGCTCGGAGAGCGACCGATATGTGTCTTCTGTGGCCTGGTACAGCTCTTGGCTGCAGTAGACGTAGAATATTAAGCTCATGACGTTTTGCGGCAGAAGTTCGAGGATTTGTTTCAACTGTTGAAATTAGTACAGACGGAAGGGAATCTCAATGCAATAACTTACGTCTTCCGTGCTGCCCAAGAGGTCGTTCAGTTCCTGCCAAGCACCCCAGTGGTATGGGTTTTGATGCACACAGCGGATCAGCCATTTCTTCGCCAGCTCCTCATTGCGTCCTTTTAACAAGACAACAGCATAGAGATACTCCAACCATCCCTGCCCCTGGTCATCTAAACCCTGTGCGGTTCGTTCCGATAGCCACCCATCTAAGCCTCTAGCGAGACCTGACAACTCTCGATTGACCGCCATCCCACCATCTGCTGGACCTAATACCATCTCAGTTTCCTCTTCCTTGCGCTTCTCTCCTGCTAAATACTTCGCGTACAGGGCGAGGAAGAGCGATTTCTGACTGAGTTTTGGATATGGATTTTGCTGTATTTGGGTCTTTTGGGTCTTTGAGCTTTGAAACGGTGAAGCTTTGTCCTTGCCCTTGTGTGAAGTCCGCGATGGCCTCGGCTTGGAGTTGGGAGAGGTAATTGACAAAGGAACTGGTGGTGTGGTCGGAGGGAGGAATACGGCCGCACATCGGTCATATTCACGAGTATCGAAATAAGATTTGGCCAGCAGGTATTTGTAGGACTCTTGCGTTTCAAGGGCAGCTTCAACTGGGTCGCGCACTTTGAGATAAGGGTTTGTTGCTGGCGGAGGGTCTGAAATATCCATCGGTGACTCGAGGTCAGTGTCTTCGTGATCTAAAGGCCGGAGGGAATCAAGCATTTCAGCGGCCCTGAGTCCATGAACATCATTAGCACGTGAGGCCTGTTCGAATGAAGCTTATTATTGTTACCATTTTGATGATTGATAAAGGCATCGCTCAGAGCACTTGATTGCAGCATTTTCCAGCTGGTACATGAGCTCTCGGATTCCATCATCCGTAGGTTCTTCCATGACGGGCGTCTTCGTCGCAGGTAGGTGTTCCGAGGCAAAACGTTCAAAGACAGTCTTGTAGCGCCGATGGAGCTTTCAGTTTATCAAACCGTTTTGCGACAATTTAATCTCATCCTTATTTTGGTAGAAAGCCCACCACGTAGCGGTTCAATCCTTACTTTCAAATGTCCGGTGTAAATAAATGGTCTTGGCCCTCGTCGCGTTCTTGATACAGGTGAGACGGCAACTCGCGTAACCGGAAAGAACAATAAGTGTATCAAGAGTCCTGGGAAAGCTATGAATGCTTGTAGATTCTGAAACAACGCGAAGATCGTTCAATGGCCTTGAGAAATCCACGTCGTCCTCGGGTTGCGCCTGGAGAAACAGCAACGAGAGCAAACCGGACAAACCAAACAAACCAAACAAACCAAACAACTGCGGGGAAGTGGGAATGTTTTCGTCCTTCTTGTCAGATCATTGTCATCTTTTACCACACACTTCGTCATCATGGGCTCTACTACCAAGCGCGCCGACTTCGAGGCTATTTTCCCTTCACTGGCCCAGGATATCCTTGCCCACGCAAAGCGCTACAACCTCCCTGACAATGCGCTCGAGTGGTTCGAGAAGGCAAGTAAAACCTCGTGATGCCTATTCTTGAGGAAAGAAAGATCATAGCTGACACCATCTTATGCGCTCTAGTCTCTTAATATCAATGTTCCTGGCGGTAAGCTCAATCGTGGCCTCTCGGTCCCTGATACCGGTCGTGCTCTCCTGAAGCAGCCCCTGACCGAGGAGCAATTCGAGCACCTCAGCATCCTGGGTTGGATGACTGAGTTACTCCAGGCTTTCTTCTTGGTCAGTGACGACATGATGGACTCCTCTATTACCCGCCGTGGCCAGCCCTGCTGGTACCGCCACGAGGGTGTCGGCTTGATCGCTATCAACGACTCCTTCATGCTGGAGGCGGGTATCTACCTCATCCTTAAGCAGCGCTTCCGCTCGCATCCCGCCTACATTGACATCGTCGAGCTCTTCCACGAGACCACGTGGCAGACTGAACTGGGTCAGCTTTGTGACCTCATCACCGCCCCCGAGGACAACGTCAACCTCGACAACTTCTCCATGGAGAAGTACATGTTCATTGTCACCTATAAGACAGCTTACTACAGCTTCTACCTACCTGTCGCTTTGGCTCTTATGTACCTGCAGCTGGCTTCCGAGGAAAATCTCAAGCAGGCCCACGACATCCTCATTCCTCTGGGGCAATACTTCCAGATCCAGGATGACTACCTTGACAACTTCGGTGACCCATCTGTCATTGGCAAGATCGGTACCGATATCCAGGACAACAAGTGCTCTTGGCTCGTTAACCAGGCCATCCAGCGCTGCACTCCCGAGCAGCGTCAGCTCCTGGATGCTTCCTACGGCCGCAAGGACGCTGCTGAGGAGGCCAAGGTCAAGGCCCTTTTCAACGAACTACAATTGGAGAAGGTATACAAAGAGTACGAGGAGAAGGTTGTTGGCGAGCTGCACGAGAAGATTGCGGCCGTCGATGAGTCTAAGGGTCTGAAGAAGGAAGTCTTCGAGGCCTTCCTCGGCAAGATTTACAAGCGGACCAAATAGAGGGTCATCCTCCGTTGTGTGTTTAGAAGGATACCCGCCGTTCGACTGGATCGTGACGATTTAATTATATAACGCCTATGCACAAACCTGAATATGTCCGGCGATGAATCGTCTTTTCTTTCTCGGATATACTTGCATTTATTTTATTTTTATTTTTAGATTCAGTTTATCAGCTTAATAATAAGCTAGGATGGGATAGAAAACTAAAAATGACAGGTAGCTATCTGTCTACTACTACAAATGAGGAGCATTCAACGCCATCAAACAAATCAGTCCCGAAACCAATCCTGCACAAGGCAAAGTCAAGACCCAACCACCAAAAATAAAGACAAGCTGCTTCCAATTGACAGCACCAAGATCATAGTTCATGAGAGCAACGCCCATGGCGGACCCGGTCAAGCACTGCGTCGTGGAAACAGGCAAGGCAAGCCTTGAAGCCAACATCACGGTGATGGCTGCTCCAAGCTCAACACTGAATCCACGCGTCGGCGACATCTGCGTGATCTTGTTTCCCAGAGCACGAACTATATGGTACCCGTAAACCCAGAATCCAAGACCGAGTAGCAGACCAGCAATAACCAAGAACCAGATAGGGGTGGGTGCCTTGGTCTCGACATATCCGGCATGGAACGTGCCATACACAGCAGCCCATGGCCCAACGGCATTGGCCACATCATTCGAGCCGTGTGCAATTGACATCATCATCGCCGACACCACCTGGCAGTATGTCCAGAGATGTTCAACGCGGTCGTCATACCGGTGAGCACGTGCGTGGATCGCTCGTAGTTCAGGGGAGTCGTGTGTAATCACATCACGCGTCACGCCCTGAAGCAAAAGCCATTTGATATAACCGAGAGCCTTCAGGGGATTTGTCCAGGATAGGTGTCGGACAGGGTCGATGAACCGCTCCGTTGGTTCGAGGTGCTTTTTCTGTGGCTTAGGTTCCGGTGTAACCTTCTCCTCATCATCCCCTATGTGGGCCGGACTGGACATTGCTGTAATCTCCGGCGTGGGCATGACAGAGTCTGCATTCAATGTGACGTTTTCTTTGTCTGCGTCTTTCTGACCGGCTCGCACTTGCCCGTAAGCATCTTCATAGTAGCTAATCACGGCCTCATCGCCCTTTCCTGGAAAGTATAGCGGTGGGTTTTCCCTCAGCAGTAGGGGGCCGAGAGGGATGTGATAGAACCTGATACGGGGATCGTTTCGGACGAGACGGCGGATGAAGTATGGCCTGAAGAAGACATATGCAATGATGAGACAGCCAAAAAATACACCCACAATGATGCCGGCTGCCTTGCCAGCACCAAACTCTTCCAATGAGGGTGCCGTGGGGGCTTCGATGACGATGAAGAGGGCGAGGATGGCTCCTGTCAAGGCAAGGTAGACTGGAATCATACGCATGCCGCATTTGAAGGAATCTTGACGTTCAAGGACGCTGTACTTCAGAGTACCGAAGATTATAGCCGAGAAGGCACCTGACACGAGAGGGGCAATACCCCAAGATGCGGCAACCTGGGAGACACTGCCCTTTGTCCAGCCCCAGTTGATAGAAGCCTCGCTCGCAAAACCAACACCAATGAGGGCACCGACGATAGTCTGCGTGGTCGAGACAGGCCAGCCCATCCGAGTGGCGAACATCAACCACGAAGCGCTGCCAACCTCGGCACAGCCCATGGCCAACATGAGCGCACCAGGCTTGTCGTCAAAGCGCTTGATATCGATGATGCCGTTCTTGATTGTATCGGTGACTCGTTTGCCCATGGCTACTGCGCCAATAAACTCGGTGAATATAGCCAGGACACCGGCCATGGCCATGCTGAGCGTCTGGGCTGCAATTGAAGTGGCATAGGCGTTGGCGACATCGTTGGCACCATTGCCGAAGGCACTGAAAACGAAAGCGATGGTGGTAAGGGCTAGAATCCAGTCATACTTCGCGGTTATTACCGATACCATAGCGACGAGGGGCTGCGGTGGATCACAGAAGAAGAGAAATTTGAAGAACTAGAAAAGGAATTGATTTTAGCAGTCTTCTACGGCCTTGCTTTCATGGTGCCCTTATAAGAGCTGCAAACTCGCCACGACCATTGCCAAGTGCGTGCGTCCTGTGATAAAATATTTTCCTGAACTTGGCCTAAACCGTATGGAGCTCCATTCTGATGTCAGTATTAGCCCATCATAAAGAGATCAATGACAGTTATTGGCTAAGTACAAGGCGACTTTGTCGATGGCCGAATAAGAGTGGCAGTTGGCGCCAAGCCTTGGGAGCGGACGCCAAGAGCGGACGAAGGACGTCTTCCGGCGATGATATACTCTCTACAGATCACTTTGGCCAGTCATATTGGGTAAATTTGCACGTTCCTGGGTGCTGATCTGTGATTGCACGTTTAATAGAGCTTGACGTGAGTTCAGCCTAGGCGCCGAGGACTTGGAAGTCTGGGTTTTTCGGCGGAGGACGCATACGACCCTTGGCATGTGTTGCTAATTTCTGGGCAGCTGTGCGGCCATATAGTTTTCGGAAAGACTTTTCACTACGGTACCGTGAGTTAGGATCTAGAACAAGTCCAAAGGAAATGGTGAAGCCCATGTGCTAGAGTACCATGTGGGAGTTTATATATATTTCAATACGCTCCCTTACGTTCTATCTTTTGCTAATTTAAAGCCACTTTCACCTTGGCTTAGTGGGCCTATCTACTTTCGGCAGAGGCACACGTAAATAAACCGGCATTAACGGCGGTCTCGCTTCTTGACAGGAAGTGAACGGAATTAAGAAGCTTGGCGATTTGGGACTTAGGTATCAGGGAAAATACCATAGTTATCTTGCAAGAAGATTACATACACCATACACTACCTACTCGAGCTACGGGTGTAGACTTTATAATTGAATGATTTGACATTCAGAGATTGCCAACACCTTCTATGACGCAATGCAAATAAGAGAAGGAAGATATGTCGCTAGAAAACAAGCAATCAAACACAATTTTTTCACGACGAACACTGCTACACAGCATTCGGGCACTCAATATCCCTTATAAGAGTCTGCGCAAATCCCTCAAATCGAGGATAAGACCAGGTATCCCGGTAACGTTCAACGAGCGGTCGATCATCAGGCTCGGCGGGACTATCTTGTGGTTGAGTCCTTGGACTCTCGTCCTCCTCCTCCTCATCATCACTATCCCCTGCCTCCATCTTTCCTTCAACCAATTCTCCGAATTTCACATCTATAGGCACGCTGCCCATAAATGGAAGGCTTAATTCCTGGGCCATCACCTGTCCTCCCCCACTCGAGAACAGATTACTAACCTCCCCACAGCAGGGGCAAGCATACCCAGACATATTCTCTATAACTCCAAGCACAGGGATATTAGTCTTAACGCAAAAGTTCGCTTCTTTGCGCACGTCCGAGGTCGCCACAGCCTGTGGCGTTGTAACAAGGACCGCACCAGCAAGTCTAGGCAAGCCTGTTTGCGCAGCCGCCGCTACGTCTGTGGTGGAGAGTGTGAGCAGCTGCTCTGCTAGCGCAATGTGCTCGTCACTCGTCCCGGGAGGCGTATCGATGAGTAGGTAATCAGTCGGGCCCCAAAAGACATCCGAGAGGAATTGGCGAATCATAGCTGTTTTCTTTGGTCCGCGCCAGATTACGGCGTCGCCGCGATCGCGGAGGAGGAAGCCTAGGGACATGCAGCGGAGGGAACCGCGTGGGGGTTGTGTTGAGGGTGCTGAGGCGTCGGGCTCAGCTGCAGATTCAGCTCCGTGAACTGGTACTGGCATCCATCCGCCTGGCGCTTGTGTGATCTTTGCATCTTCGAGTCCGACTAGGCGTGGCATTGAGGGTCCTGTCAGGTCGATGTCAAGGATGCCGACAGATTTTCCTTGTAGCGAGAGCGCGAGGGCGAGTTGAAGTGTGACGGAGGATTTGCCCACACCTCCTTTGCCGGAAAGGATCTAAATTCCAATCGTTTCTTGTTAGTTTTGTCTAAGAAATTGCGCTTGGGTGTCTAGCCCATGGCTTCGAGCAGCTCTCGTTATCGATAAGCTATGAGGGGCATGGGCTTTCTTTTTTTCGCGCTGGCAGGACTGGCAAGGGATTGAAGGTGCACGTACCAGCACGACATTCTTCACCCCAGTGAGAGGCATAGTTGTATATTGTATGTTTAATTTGGAGAAAAGAAATGTTGCAGCAACTGAAAGCTCAACGACGGATTTCAAGGGCGGAGGCCGATATTCGGGCGCTTATCAATCGCCTTCTGACTAACCTTCGGTCTACAACGTGGACGCACTAGTATGGGATATGAAAGGTCGATTTAACCACTTATTTTGAATTTGGAGGTCATTAAATGATATTCCATTGATCTACGTAGCAAATCTGAAGGTCCCTCTTCGGTATCAGATATGTCATGTAACGTTCATCCATACAAACCCCACTGCCCAGCTGGTATTCGCTTTTTGAACCACTCTGAAGACGAAAGAGAATATTAATAGTGCATTTACAGCCACTTCTGGATCACGACGCCTCCACGTTTGAAATCAGGAATGTCGCCGAGAACGGCAGCCCAGTCATTGAGCTCCGTGCTGGGGAAAGTCGTCATCAAGACCCATGCGCGGTTTGGACCATCCGGGGTCGCAGAAGCAACGAACGCATAAACTTCGCCAATGGTAGCGGTCGTGTTGAATCGAGACGTTAAGCGAGTCCCGTCGCCTAGGCGGATTTGTAGGGTAACTGTAGGTTGTGACTCGTCCACGTTGGGCTTCGTTGGCTCCCGAGTAGATGGTCCAGCCGTAGAAGAGGAGGGTGTTGGCGCCTGGCTCCGTACGCCGGGTGTCGGGCTTCCGAGGCGCTGTCCAGAGCCCGAAAAAGGCTTGTACTTGGGCTTGGGCTTGGTGTACTTCTCCTCATGCTGCTTGAGTTCCACGTCAACCTCCTGCCCAGGTTGAACATTCATGATGGAAAGAGGAGCGCGGCCTTGGCGGATACCGTCCAGGATCTCTGCATTGCGGGGGTCGTCTGATCGAAACAGTTCACCGTCATCAACCGAAAATCCATCGGCCCAGAAATGAAGAGTCCGTTGAACACGCTGGGCACGCTGTTGACTAGGCGCCGATGGGTTTTCAATCACCTGACTTGGTGCATCGTCACCACCGAGTGTGCGGGCAGTGCCAGTGAAATGTGATTCCCTTGGCGCCGGGGTGTCTGAAGGAGGAGGCTGCGCCCTGTTGACATTCGAATGTTAGTTGAGTTCAATATTCGTAGCATCTCTAGGAGAAAGTACCTGCGGGCCTTTTCGAGGATCTTCTTTTTCAAATCATCGGGGTTCTGCACAGCTAGTCCGGACTTTTCACCACCCGCGAAGAAATCATGTTCGTCGGTGTCATCGTCATCGGAAGAATCACCACCGCCGCCACCTCCCCCCGAAGCAAAGTCTCCCAATGTAGCAAACTTCTTCTTGGGCGCAGCGCTTCGGGCGGATGATGAGGACCCAGCTGCGGCAGAGGATGAAGCTGGTACGGCACTTCCGCCGAGAGTTCTACCCCCCGCGGAAGCTCCAGAGCTACCCTCTGTGCCTAGTGGTCGCGCACCACCAGCACCGGCATCCTGTGAAGCTTCGTCCTGCTCCGCGAAGAATTCCGTAACAGCAGCTTCGATGTCCCAACCATTGGCAACAAGATATTCCTGAGCCTAGACAATCACGCACTCAAAATCAGCGACTAAGTTATGTATAGACACAGCAAGAAGCTTACCTCTGAAGCCTCAGTTCCAGTCATAGCACAGAATTGAGACACAGCCTCATCGTGCTCCGCGGGGTTGCCCTCCATGGTTGAGCTTCGTTAGCGGGTTACGGTGATCGAAGCTGAAAGAAGATATTGGGAGAGGAATCAAGATCAGATTTGATAGCGACAACAGGTGCTTCGTCTCAGGTGGACGGAAGGAAAAAAACAATGTCAGTGTCAATGGAGCTGAGTTAGGTGACAGACCTAAACAACGCTGGCAGCTGGCCGGTACGTCACTTCTCTCAATTGGTCAGCCGGGATATAGATATTCCGTCCCGTTCATGGCGCCTCAGGCCGCCACATCTTTTGTCGAATGTCGACACATGAACTAGCGAAATTAATAAAATGAAAGCTGAGGAACTTGGACGCATCTTAAACCGTTCGACTTGTCGTGCAGCTTCCACTCATTTAGTGTGAAAAATCATTCGTTGACCTTGTACCACACGACTCAGCCATCGCCCTGGTCTCCGTGGAGATGATAGGGCCTGAACTAGCTTCAAGGGATCGATCATCATGATGTTATAGATGGTTTTCTCACCCTAGTGAACATCAGACAATGGCTGCTGCCATTAATTTTCAAGCTTGCTTTTATGAACATCTACTGCATTTCTAATATCATACACAGACTACTTACAATTGCAAGTTTTTTTTGGCAAAATATCACAATTTACACAAGCAAAAACAAGAAATGAGTATTGACTCAAGACAAAGGAAGATCGATCAGCAAACTGCATGCCAAGATGAACCAAAATGGTATGTATCAATGTCAGATCGTTCAAACAAGTTCCATTTCCTTGTACTCACTCGCCAACGCTTTCACAAAGATTCAATATAAAGAACCCGAGGCATAGATCTGCCAAAGTAAGTGTCTTGTATGCTGCGAAGGCATACTCCTTGGGCTACCTCGAACTCTGAACGCTTTCTTTGATATACCCCAATTGACCAAGTGGAAATGACAGTAACAACCGTTTCAATGCTACTATGTACATCTATTTCTCTTTGTATAGTCCCTTGCCCCCTCACGCCTGACGCGAAGACCCGAAGGTATTTGAGCTATAAGCAAGACACTTATAGATGGCAGGAGTGACTTTCCCTGGAAGTTCGTTTTATAGACTCGTAATGATACGAGAGGTTCACAAATAGCTGGTTGGACCCGGTCCTACGTATTCATCAGCGGCCATTAGTCT